GGTTGGCGAGCAGCTTGTAGGAACTTCCTGCTAAATAAAACATTCATCCCAACCGACGATCACGAGCGTTCCTGACAGCAGTCACGTCAACTTCTCAATATCATGTAATATGCAGAGGCTCAGTGAAGCTGGTTTAAAAAAAAGAAAAGAAGAATGTCAGGGTAATAAAGTGATGGGAGGCAGACAGAAAATGTTTCCTGGTGATAAAACAATATGAGATGTGCGTCTCCAGGTTTGCAAATGTGTGCACACGTCAAGAGAAGCTCTGGAGTTAATATCAAAGAACAGGATGTCAGACTCTCGACTTAACACCGCAATAAAAAACACATGATATGAAAAACACATTCCGTTGCTCCGACGTTTGCTTATTTTGTTTATTTCCACTCATCAGGTGCTGCAAAGAGCCGACAGACGATCCCGAAGCATTTCATTACGCTCGGGGTTTTTAATTTCGCATCTCGTGTCGGAGGTGCGGCGCGAACGTCCGTCCGAGTTAAGCGTCAACGCTTCTCCTCGCTGATTGGTGTGGCATTTAGGGTATTAACAACAGCCCCTCCTCCTCCTCTGTCCATCACTGAAACCTCTTCATCCCCGAACGAGATAATGAAGATCGGGGATGGCGTGACATTTGGGGAAGGAGACGTTTTTGTCATGTGTGGAAGCGACGCTCTTCTTTCTTTGTTGTTGTTTTTTTTCCTCGAAGCAACAAGTTGTTAAGAGTTGAAAGGACGACGGAGGAAAGGTCACGATAAAGGTCACCGCGGGCGCCAACGGATACGACGACGCTGACGACAGTTTAATCAGTGTTTAACGACAGAGAAACTGACTTGTGCTGAGTTTAGTTCACAAAATTTGTGACTATTATTTGACTGAAAGTTGCATTTTCATCTTTGCTGTGATTAAAATAAAGCAAAATCCACGTTTCATGCATAAATCTGTGCAAGAATGAGGCAGTGATTTAATATTTAAGCATCACTTCTAATGGGCTGATGAAAGTTTTACATATTTATACTGTTTTAGGCATCATAACGCAGCACTGTTTCAGCTTTTAAGGCAAATTGTTTGATTATTTGAGTGAGATGTGTCACACGAAGGTATAAAATTCTCTGCAAAAGTCAGATTTTCAGATAAATCAGAGGACATTTCTGACTTTTACACATTCCTAAACTGACATTATTTTAGTTTATTTACTGCAAAGGCATTAATTGAGTTAGTTTCTCGCTACGACACACAGGAAAGACGTTCTGACTTTTCAGAATAAGACGGATCAACGCGAGGCCACTTTTCCCCCAAACACGTGGATGGATATGAAAAGACTTGTCTGCTGTTGTCTCCGCTTCGTATCACATGTGGATTAAGTGAAGTGATAAAGTTTGTAATGAGATTAATAAACAGACGCGATAAGCTCTCTTTGGATTACCTTCGAACTATAGATTCCTCAGTGCACATAGAAGGAGGTGATAACTCGTATAAAGTCGTATTTAAACATGAAGATGTCACGAAACCTCCTTACGTTCTAGATCCTGCATGCAAGTTTTTCCCAAAGTCTGGACGGAAAAACAAGAAGGTAGGAGGAGAGGATGAAACGGGAGATTGGGGAGGAAGTGGCTGGGATGGAGGAGAAAAAGGATGGATTCATAAAGGGCATCGGGAGGAAGGCTTTTTATTTTGCATCCATCATTCTGTCATTTAAACAACAGCCTCCTGGAATAGGAACGGACGAGTCCTCGTGTTGAAGAATAAAGAAATGTGAGGACACTTCACAGCTCTCGCCACAAAAGTTGTTTTTTGTTGTTGTTGTTGTTGTCGCGGCGCCGCTGACATTTTCTACAGACCGAGGCGGGTTACAAATGGACAGACAAAGTCAGATGAAAACAGTCGCTCACACGGACCAAGACAAACAACAGAAAAACAAGGATTCACAGTGAAAGCGACGTCGGCCCACCAGCCGGCCGGCCAACAAACAAACCTGCTGCTCGTAGCAAACACATTAACAAGAACTTGATGGTTTCAGAGGCGTCATTTACCGGCGATCTTGGTGGTGATGCGGGTGGTGACCGGCGGCCCGAAGCCCTTGTTGGTGGAGGCTTTGAGGGTGAAGAAGTAGGTGGTCCCCGGGTAGAGTCCCACGAACAGGTGGTGGGTCTCGTTCATCAGCTTGAACACTCGTCCTCGCTGGGTCGTCAGATCGGCGCTGGGGTCCAACGAGCTCAGGGCCTTGTAGGTGATCTGGAGGCAGACGGGGGGGAAAAGGGTTTTATAGGCTTCTGCTTTAGTGTAGATGGAAGAACGTCAGCGATGCTAATAGTTAGCTTAGCATCATCGTTGCGTTGATTGGTTGTGTCAGCTCCTTGTGGCTGCAGGAATGAGTTTAGCTTCAATGTTTTTGTACAGATTTGTGAAGATTAACTTAAACTCTTAAGACCGGAGCTCTTGTTTCATATGCTTTTTTTATTTATTTATTTTTTTAATTTCTCTTTGCCATTTAATCTGATCGAAATAGAATAGAATAAAAATAAATAAACAAGGAAAATAAAAATATATATATTTTAAAAATTATATGTATAAAATATTTTTAAAAATATTCTTAAAAAGGTACAAAAACAAACAACAATAAGAAAATAAAAATAAAATAAGAAAAGAAAAAAAAGAAAAAAAGAAATACTGTGGTAATATAACACAAAATCTGATGCCAGGTCTTAAGAGGTTAAATTAGTTTAAATAAATGAATAATCTTGAAATTGTTATAAGTCTTCTTAACTAACTTTTTAAAAATTATTATTAGCAAACATCTGTTTTGGGAAATTTGTTGATTTCAACTGAATTCACTTTTGCAAGGTAATTGTCAGATTCAGTACAGTCTACAGTATGGAGAAAATGATGGAGTTCATCCAGATTCCAATCAGTTACCGAATAATAAATGATGAGACCAACCTTTTAAAGCCCCAAAAAATTTTTTTAAGTCCTTTTGTGGAAGTAAATATATCTTCAAACATGCTACGCTAGTCACTCCGCTAACACAAAGCAGTTATTCTACAGACAAAAAAATGCATGAACCCAAAATGAACAGATGCATGATCGAACCTAAGCGCTCACAATTCAGTTTGATTTTTACACATGCAAAAAGTTGAATCTTCATTTGGACCGATCCAACATTCATCTTGTTTTTTAGCTCTCTTTCGTTAACTCTGCTAAGCCGACAGCGCTGAGGGCAAACCAGAGCAATGAGTTCTGGTCTGCAGAACCAAATAATGACAAAACAGTCAGTAAAAGGCGTTACAGCACTGAGGGGAATTGAGGAGTCGCTTACAATCCTTAGCGACGTCGCCGCCGATCAAGGACGGACGCAACCTGAATTTCATAAATTACGGTTCGCTGCAAATGAACAGAACATCGAAACACGTCCTTGTTTTGTTGGAAAACCACTCGTTTATTTGCCATTTCCGGCGGTAACCTTCACAGTTCGACCCCCACCTCCACCGTCACACTGCAGCAAATCCACCCAATCAATCACCACTTATTAAATCGTCTGTTAAACGTCACGCGAATCAATTTTTTATTTTTTTTTTCCCCCTTTAGAGCCGAAGCCACGCCGGCTCTTTACAATACGTCTATGTTTCTCCCCATGATCTCCACTTTGAGACTGGAACAAATTGAGCAAATTGACCCATAGCCGCTAAACTGGCAGAAACACTTCAATAGTTCTCCTGTTAAAAGACCCGTCAATGTCAGTCACGGTGTTGCTACCGGCAAAAAAAAAAACCATCAATGACTGCACACACGGACACACACACAGACGCGTACGGTGAAACGCTGGAGGACAGCTGTCACCGCGAATGACAGTCAGTACAAAAGGATATTGAGTGGTGGGAGAGAAAAGAGAAAGAAAAAACACACATTAAAAGCAATTCAACTCATTTCGTGCACGTGTCCAAAACTCTAAGTGCATCGTGAGAAAGGGTGGAGGCGAGGTGAAACCCAACCAGAACGCTTTCTAAAAAAAAAAAGCTGCAGGACCCTGGAACTGGTTTTGTCTTTTGTTTGTTTTGGGTTTGATTTCTTGGTACCAAACAGGATGCGAGGGCAGCACTGTTAAGCCGAGAAACTCCCAGAAGAAAGATTTTTTTTTTTTCTGAGTGTGGCTGCAAAAATAGAAACGGTCGACTCACGTCAGCTCTGAAACGAACAAATACTGGAGCTGAGACAGAGAAATAATTGAGCGGGAATCGGTGAAGTGGCGTTTTTAAGATGGCTAAACTCTCCGGTTTGGACTGGATCTGCCCTTCCTGTCGCCCTGTACTCCGGTCAGCCGCCCAAGCGCAGACTTGGACGAGGTTAAACCGACTCGCAGAAAGATGCGGCGCTTGTTAAAGTGCAGAAGAACGGAGCGAGACTAAGACTTAACGCAACAAACCTTTGTATTTTACATCATCGCTCTCAATCTGAATGATAAACTCTCGCTGTTGTGACAAAAAGCGCAACGAAGCGAGAAAAGAATCGCTGGAGAGAGCAGCGAAGACGAAGCGATAACAAGCGACGGATGTTTGCGTAAAACAGTTCGCTGGGAGGGATGGAGGTGAGCGTGAAGGAGGAGGATCTTCACTCGGCCCTCGTCTCTCCATTAACAGACTGAAATCAAAAGCAGCTACGACCGGGCCTGCAGGCGGCGGCGGCGCTGATGTGGACGAAAGAGAAGAAATACGAGGAGTAAAAGAAAGAGAAACGGGAGGAAAGGATGCTCGTTCACTGGCTGTAAAATGGGATGCAGCAAACTCTGGAAACGTTTCGTTAAATCTGGTTCCACTTTACCTCCTGGTCCTTAAAAATCCTCCTTATCTGGGGTACTTTCTGAAGTTCATCCACATTGTTGTCCTCATTCGGAACAAAACGTCGTCTTATTAGGATGCTCAGTAGACACAAGCGTCATTCAAATGCTTCCAAGTTCCTTTTGTTGGTTTTTTTTTTGCTAAGGTTGGGAACACACAAGCTGAACCTGCAGCGGGCACACGGAGCACCCACGTTATTTTCTTAATTCTTTCGAGATGCAGACTGCTTTGAAATGGACGTGGCTCAGGTGGCCCCGGAGCAAGACGTTCGCCTCGAGAATGCTCCCAATGTCTCTGGAAAGGTACAATTTATGCTGCTTTGAGCAAAAAAATACCTTCCGTATTGAACGTAATGTAACATAATTGACATCATTATGGCCGATGATTACCGTTTGTGTGGCTGCTTTTCTTCTATTCGACCATTTCTGAGGTCAGAAGGTCCCATTTTTCTGCTACAATCTCACTTATACTTCAGTGTCCACCCTGTCGAGCTCTTACTCGGCCAAAGTAAACGCTCCAAAGACCCAAGTTTGGATTTTCTTTCTTTCGTTTTCACTGCCAGCGACCTGAGAAAGAAGCCGAGTCGCCGTATGTCAGCGGGCGTCGTAGTTAATCCCCGACGTTTTAAAACAGCCGGAGTCGAGCGAAGTGTTCAGACGGGCAGCGACAAAAAAAAGTGTGCAAGAAGCAGGACGGGGTAAAGAGCATTTAGTAAGATAAACTACTAAAAAATTAAAGGATTGTAAGACGTGTAAAATAAGTGTTAAGACCAACCAGAAGCCACTCTCCAAAACATCCGTGGAGGAGGATCAATCGAATAAAAGACAAAGATTATTCCGACGCTTTAAGCCGCCGCTGCTGCAAAGAGACGCTCTTCCTCCTCCACCGTCCTCCATTATGGAACAGTTCTGAGGATTTAAGAGGCCCGCAGGAAGAAAAGTTTGGATCTTTAGCTCTGAATTTTACCTTAAATAGCAACGACGGGTTTAGAGCGGCGCACAGCAGCTAGAGATATGCCAAAAGAAAAACCTCGGAAGAGAAGTTCACGAAGCTCCGGATGAAACCAAAACTGGATTAAAAAAAGGGAAGCAATCAAGAGCAAAGTGTTGTGGCAGAGCTTTAGTCATTTTACATTTCGTCGATTGCGGCGTTAGTTCGTCCTACGCTAAAGATTTAAGAGGCCCGGAGGAAGAAAAGTTTGGATCTTTAGCTTCGAATTTTACCTTAAATAGCAACGACGGGTTTAGAGTCGGGCAAGAAGGTCACCGGTTCACGTCCCGGTGAGGACACCCGGGATCTTTCTGAGTCTCCATGTTCTCCCCGTGCAGCGTGGGTTCTCTCCGGGTTCTCCGGCTTCCTCCCACAAGGTCCAGAAACATGCTGAGGTTAATTCTAAATTGTCTGTAGGTGTGAATGTGAGTGTGCTTGGTTGTCTGTCTCTAAGATAACGGATGGAGATTTAGAGTAGCTAGAAATATGCCGAAAAAACCTCGGACGCATCCAAGAGAAGTTCACAAAGCTCCAGATGAAACCAAACTGGATCAAAGTCAAGAGCA